ATTCAGCTCTGCTACACAGAAAATGAAACAAAAAAAAAAATATTATGGCAGACTTCACAAATACGAATAATCACCATCTCTAAACATTCTAGTTGGGAATTTTCATCGTAAAGGAGAAATGAGATTTGTAGATGGTTAAAAGATAATTCATAATTCATTCCCATGCTATACATACACTATGTAAGTCAATCATGAGAAGACCAATGAGTACTCATTGCACCCAATCAAGCCATGATTAGATGCATGTATACTAATCAATACTCGGTTTGGTGGCATATGACCGACCCATTACCGATCTCATCATTGGGCAACCAACATCCATAAACGTAGATGTTCCAACTTCCAACATTGGTAGGTAACGTATCCATACCCCATTTGGAGAATCAAAATAACAAGGACGAAGAGTTTTCCTTGTAGAACAATAGCATGTTGGAAGACGCAATCATCTACAGCGATGATAACGCATCATACAAGACAAATGTCAATGAACTCAGACACTTCGATGGTTGCTTCATATATACTACTGCAGCGTCATGTGGTGAGATACTTGTAATCTTAGGGCGGGCCTAACCTTGTGCAATGTACGATGGTTAGATGCATGAACAGGAAGACATGGCGTGAGGCTCGCTCATAACTTGGGTTGGCGGTCTCCGCAAGCGTCGCGTAGCCCATGTGGAGTCGGTAGAATCCAGCATTGAATTATGTTTGGCCCTACATGAAGTCAAGTAGTCACAACCTCCCATGTTATGCTACCTGATTCCTGGTAACGTTTAATGCTGCACCCATTTGGGTCTACCACATGTTAGACTCGTAGTATTCAACGCATGAAGACCATGTGAGGTGAGACCATTTTGGATGCCTAATAATTGCATGCACCTTCTCACTCTTTTATTTGAGATTCGTTTCTCACAAATTAGCCTTACGCCACCCTCTATATAAACCCAAGTGCCTTCTACCGGAGACTGATGGAAATGGAGCCCAGTATGAGAGAGAGCAGACGCGGCCATGGTCTCCGGAAGTGCTTCTGCCTCGGGAGCCCGAGGGTCACGGCAGAGGAGGCCGTCGAGGAACTTACCCGTGGAATGGTCATCTCCACGGAGGAAGGCGACGGAGTAGTGCGGTTGAAGATTGTGATGAGCAAGCAAGAGCTGAAGGTAATGGTAGCGTCGCTGAGCGGGGAGCGCAGCGATGCAGGTGGCGGTCGCGGTCGAACGTTGCTGCCGCCGCCGCCGAGCCTGGAGCAGTTGCTGCATGCGCTGCGCAGGCGGCACATGAAGAGAGCAGAGAGCGGGAAGCGTCGGAACGGCGGGTGGATGCCTGCACTCCAAAGCATACCGGAGGAGAATTGAAGTTCGTGCTTTTTTTGGTGGGCTATGTATACATTAATTTGTATAGAGTACCGATCTTTTGGAAGGTTCGGAGAGGTCTAACTTTATGATCTGTATGTAGAAAGATTGGTCTGATGTAGTCCTCCATGGAAATGTTTGGATTTGCACAAGTTGGTGATGTAGTCCTCCTGACTTTGATTCTCATATCTACTGCGTCCCTTTTGTGCCTCCATTATGCGCATGGCTTTCTTCGTCTGCTATTGAGGTTAATGGTCGATCAGAGGGAGAAGGAACCAGAAAACCCGTTTCCGATCAGGAATGTGACGCGGACTTTACCGCGACTGAAGAAACGAATCTCACACGATCCGAAGCGCCGCGACTTAAGTAGGGGCACGTTATCCCACAAGAAGTAGAAGGTTGCTTTGGAGGGTAAAACTGTATTTTTAGTATATACTAAAAAAAATTTGAGTGAATATATAATTATAAAATATTATGAATGTTTGATAAATAATAGATAAAAATAATATTTTAAATATATATTATCATAAATATTATTTAGTAAATTTATATTTCAAAAATCCATCGAATATTATGTGATAAATTTACTCCTTTAATATTTTTGATACTTATTCAAGAGTGAATACATATTTTTTATTTAAATTAATAAATAAATAAAATAAATGAATATATGTAATCTTATAGAAAAAATTATATGGCCCAGATATATAATAAATAAAAATATATAATCATATAGGACTATCCTCTAATGATATATTTTTTTAATCTGCTACGTATGAATATTTTAAATATTTTTTTTTTTAATTCAACTGTGGGTTTAGAATCTTTTCCTTAGCTTAAGCTTTGATCTCGTATCTTTTTGATGTTATGGAGTGATTTATTCATCTTTATTCAATTAAATCGAATGATTTAATAGTTTTTTAATTTTGACTCATTCAAATCAAAATTTTATTCATCTTGTTTTTATACCAAAATTTTATAACGATTAATCCAAATCATTCTAATTATAATGAATATATATTAAGTTAGATACCAATTCATCCCAAAAACCTAAGCTCTTAGGTTATGACTCAAACCTAATATATATAATATGACTTATTCAATCATCAACCATATATGAATATGTATTCAAGATATCTCTTTTCATCTCACACATATAAATATTTTTAATAAATATAATAATTATCGTAAAATTTAAGTGAAAAATATAAAAAAGTATCATTTGTTTTTTGTAACAAATATAATACAACTATTAAATTTGGAATTTCAACCTTCATCACAATTCTATAATATGTTCGAGACTGTAATCCAATTAGAGCAAATCAATACAATTCGATCGTAAGGTAAGAAACAAGTAAAAAAATAATAATAATATTCTATTTCGATTGAATGGCAGAGGCATTAGATCTCTATACAGAAGCTCTTAGGTAAGATCAAGTGAAAGGGGATACGATAAAAGTGCAAGATAATATTATTATCTTTAGCGAGTGCTAACTCCACTTCTCAAATTTTCAATCAAAATAAAAACAAATGCTCGTTTTAGGATATTAGGTTTTCTTTTTATTTTTTAGGAGAATCAACCTACATAATTTTTATTTTTTTATAAAAATAAAAAACTAATTTCATGATGTAATTATTATTTTTGATATAGTAAAGGAAAAAATTTATATTTTTGTCCTTTGATTGGGAAAATTTGTTCTAGTTAAAGATGATAATTGCTTTAGTATATTAGAAAATATTACTTAAACATATATTATTTTTATTAATTAATTCTTGTTGGATATTCACAAAGAAATATGAAATATGAAATATGATTTGACTTTAGAGCATGACGGGGCACAAATGCATCCAATCACGAAGCACGTAATTGGACGGGGAGAGTTAAAAGTAAAAGAAAGTATTATTGTGGTGGTCATCCCCACCGACACGACCATAAACGTGTCAAAATCGTGAGGCCTACGGCTTCGTAGAGACGATCAGGACCGTCCATTGTACGGGAGCCTATCAGTAATAACGAGAAGACGACTTCTCCCCCAAGGCGAAAAGCCAGGGGAACAGAGGCGAGACGAGCGCTTCCCTCCTGCGTGCGCTCGCTCTGTCGTCGTCGTATGGGCCAGTGCGCATCGAGGAGGGCGAGGCGGGCACGCGGCAGACGGTGGCGAGAAGATGAGGACGCGGCGTCGGACAAGGTCGGTTGCCTCGCGGTGGCGAAGGAGAAGCGGTCCAGGTTCTACATCCTGCGGCGGTGCGTGGTGATGCTTCTCTGCTGGCACAAGTACGGCAAGTGCTGAACCCCATCCTGACGGCGCCATGTTCCCTCGTTTCTTCACGCTTCCCTCATCTGCAGGTGGCCTTCTTGAGTCCGAAGAGAAGCAACGAAGGTGTTTCTTGACTCCAATTCATGTCTCATGTTGCATGGATGCTCTGAATCTGTTTGGGTGCTGCTTTTTCTCTCTTTTGTTAATTGTTTTTATAATAATTTTTCTTTTTCAGAAGAAATATGACACAATTTTCATAGATTAAAGGTGGGTAAATTGCTGCTCCAATTATCATCAATTAATTGTACGAGAAGAAAGATTAATAGTCAAAACCGTACGCCATGTAAAGAATTTATTATGCAGAAGATGTTCAACTTCTTTGTTCTTCGTGGTAAAGATTGGCTTTACTGCACATATTATTTAACATATTGTTGTTGTCTGATTAGGCATTACTGCAGGCAACGCAGCCTGTTTGAGTTTTTACGTTATTTCCAATACGTACAATTGTTCCCTCGATTGAACTTTAGAGTACACCATGAAACTTGTGTCGAAGGATCCAAGTCTAAATTCACATGTTTATCATGTTACCCTTACGGAGATTGAAACCTAATTCTATGTTCAGGCTTTCTTCCTGTTCTTAGTAGCAGTATTGCAACGATGGCAAGGAGGAACGAAAAGGTCATCGTCTTAGCATCTTGCCTTAACCTTGAAGAATACCTTGGTAGTGTTTTCCTTTTATGTTTATAATACGTATTAGAGTTGAGTCCTAATAAAGTTCAAATTATTTGGAGGACAAGCAATGTAAGTCTAAAGAGAAATCCTTACAAATTACAATTTGGTAGTTCTTTAGATTTCTATTGTATCTGTTGAGGTAGAGGTATGCAGGAAAGACATCTTGAGTGCTCCATCTTTGCACCATCTTGTCTTGAGCTCGAAGAATCTTTTGGTAATGCTTTTGTTTTAGTTCGTAATTTACTGTTGTCCAAAACAAACTGAAGTAATTAGCGCTTTCATGGCACCTTTATCTTTCAGATTCTGTTTCCTGACTTGATTAGCTCCGTATATAACCATAACTAAAAACCAAATAACATTCCTGGAAGGTGAAGTTCATAAAGTTTAGCTTTCCTATATAAGCATGGATATGTCATTAAGTAGTTAATCATGAAAAAAATCGATACAAGCATTCTTTTCCTATATAAAATGTGTAGGTTTATATTACAAGTTATAGTCAATTTAGTATTGAGTTGAAAGTCAACTCTGTGCAGTTCTAATATTTCTCTTTTGTGTCCAAATGTGCATCAGCTTTTAGCCAGATTGAGAACAATAAAATTATTGAAACTGATAAGTATTTTAAGATTTCTGGAGCCAGTGAGAATAAAAAATCCTAGTGGGAGAAAGAAAGAGTCCTTGTGAAATAAAAATTTTCTAAAAATTTAGATTTATTTTTGTTATAAATATCTTATGTATCTTTAGATTTTGATAGAGAGAGAGAGAGAAACATAGAACAAGATTTAAGGAATACTTTGAATGTTTTTGGTAGAGAAGATGCTATTTAAGTTTTCTAGAGAGGAGGATAAAGAAAGATATAAATTCTTCAGGTTCATACGAGAGAGTATACAAGAGGAGTTGTAGCGTACTATATAAGGGTTGTCATTAATCTCATTATGGGTCTTGTGATTAAAAAATTTGATTTTCTTCTTGGATATAGATAAGAGTTGATTTTCTAATATCTTTTAAATTTTTTTCCCAAGAAAAACAGGCTTATTATATATAATCAAGCAGAGAAGTGGTGAAATCTTTTGTTGCAACATTCTTTCAACTATTGGGTTCCTATTGAGCAGATGTCTTTTGCTGCAAGCTTCTTTGAACAATTGTGTTCCAATTGGACAAGTGTTTTGTTTCATCAGAGTACTGTGAAATAAATTATCAATGATTCCATCAACACCAACAAGTGCAAGCTGCACACAGAGTGATCCATCCATACCTCCTTTGTGATGCCTTGTTTCATCTTGATGTGCATTCTGCAGTTGGACTAAATGGATGGAAACAGAGATGCCTCATGAAGTCAAGCCTGGTGGAAAGGAAACAAGACCAGGAGACTTGTGACAAAAATTGATGCTCAAGTTTAGGTCATGGAATTTGAGGTTCGTCATACAGTGAAAACCAAACATTAACCCTGTGAAAGTAATTGTTTTAGCAATATGCTCTTGCAAATGTAACTCTTGGAATATTAGATCGCTTCAACTCATCGTCATTGCTTAAATAGTTTAGAGCTAAAGATATCTCTCATGTGTACAGGGAAGAAAATAGATGTGTTGATTGGTTGGTCGGCTGGGCACGATCAACTAAAAACTCTCTTTGGTGGAGAGACCGGTTTTTTGAGTGCTGATGCGTTCAGCACGGGTTGTATTCGCTCTTTCACTCAAACCACATGTAGCTCTAGGGATTAGGTAGAAGAACTAAATACAGCAGAAGAGGTAGCTGGAGAAGAGTAAGTGTTGCGTGATGGATATGAGAGAGAGAGAGAGAGAGAGAGAGAGAGAGAGAGAGGACTGAAATGGAACGTAGTGCCATGAGATGGCAGCGCATTTATGTACGTAGATGCCTGCCATTATATCGTCGTTGTTCAGACAAAGATTCCTTCATTTACTGCCCTCATTGACTCCACACCCCAACACAACACTTAATCTTGTGGGTTTCACATCATCGGCATCTGTGACTACAAATAACATAGTCCACTTCATTGCGTATCCAACCATTTGGATGATCCGTCTCTCGTATCAATGTCACGTTGTTGCAGAGTGCACAGAAAAGACTGCACGCCTCCTGAAGCATTACCAGGTTATACAGTTCCTGCAGGGAGCAACCAGGGTGGAAATCCCTCTCTTATATGTAAGCAGATGAGGTCGATGGAATCCAAACGATAATGACCATAAGGAACATCATATTTCACGTCTGTCTTGATTAATTTTTGTGCCATATGCGATGATAAAAACCTTCCAATCTGTACCCACATTTCCTGGAAGTGGCCAGTCCAGTCTAGCAGCACCTGTAGACACAACAAGAATGCACAGCAAGGTGGTACAAAGCTTCAAATTTTTATTTATTGCAATTCATGCAGTAATGGCACAAGTGACAACTAGTGATGGTCCTGCTTATGGACCTCCATCCCATTGTCTGTGCCATGCAGTGGGAACAACTTCTGGAGGACTTCTTTGCTGAAATGTTTTGAAGTGCCTTTCAGTAGTGGACTCCTGTAATTGAAAGGCTCTCGAGTGCTATACAACACATCAATTCACAAGGCAAAACTTTCCACACTCAATCTTCTAGCCCTTCTCCTAGCGTTTTATGGCAACACATTAGATTTACGTCTTCTTGTGCCAGCCAAGAGGTAGCAATTAATCCCGCTTCCTCTCTCTCTCTCTCTCACATGCTAATGCTCAGAGCTCGCAGTAATGGCTGAAGGAGCAAAACCTCCAAAGTTGTTGGTGCAGTGGGATTTACTATACCACTTGGACGCTTGTATATGAATGGAATAGGAATTTGATGGTCTTCGACGCAAGCAAATGTGATGAAGTAGTGATCATATAGCCGTGTGAGAGAAAGAGGGATGGAAAGAATACTGTGAGGTTGGAGGTGGTTAACTATTAATGTGGCAGCCTGTCTCTCTCCTTTGGTAGTCGGGGCTTTTAATGCTTCGCCACACACCCACCTCCTTAAATTCCAAGTCGTTCCCTTCCCACTAAGACCCATCTCTCTATCCCCTCTCCCTCCCCCCCC